AACATAACCCACAACATGAGACACACCAGCAACACCCCCCTCCCCCCCTCCACTTCCCCCATCTTCCCCACCACAACATAAGACACACCAGCAAACACAACCACTCCCCTCCCCCCCTCCCACCCCCTCCCCCTCTTTCCCCTCTTCCCCCCTCCCCCCTCTTCCCAACCACAACATAAGACACACCAGCAACACACACCCCCTCCCCCCTCCCTCTCCACTCCCTCCCCTCCCCCTTCCCCTTCACCCACCCCCCTCCCCCTCTCCCCCCCCCCCCCTCTTCCCCAAACCACAACACGTACGCGATCATCTCCGAGGGCGACCTCCAGGGCACGTCGTCCAGCTCGTCCTCGCTCTCCCCCGAGGCCTCGTCGCTCCCTCGCTCTTGGCCGGCGATGTTCAAGGTCGACCCCGTGAACATGTCCGGGACAGGAAGGATGGAAGGCCGCCGCGTCTCTGGGGAAGGAGGAAGGAGGGTTAGAGAGAAGGGAAGATGGAAGGTGGAAGGAAGGAAGGAAGGATGGAAGGCCGCCGCGTCTCTGGGAAGGAGGAAGAGGGTTAAAGGGAAGAAAGAAGGAAGGTGGAGGGAAGGATGGAGGGAAGGAGGAGGGAAGAAGGAGGGAAGGAGACAGAGGCGTAAAAGAAAAGGGCAGAAAAGGGAAAAAAGAAGGAAGAGAGAGGGGGAAGGAGGGAAGAAGTTGGGAAACATGGAAGGCCGCCGCGTCTCTGGGGAAGGAGGAAGAAGGGTTAAAGGGAAGGGAAGATGGAAGGTGGAGGGAAGGAGGGAAGGAAGGAAGAAGGAAGGAAGAAGGAGGGAAGAAATGAGGAAGGAGGAGGGAAGGAGGAAGGAAGAGAGAAGGAGGGAGGAAGAAGGAGGGAAGGAGGGGAGGGATGGAGGGGAAAGAGGAAGGATGGAAGGGCCGCCCGCGTCTCTGGGGAAGGAGGAAGGAGGGTTTAAAGGGAAGAAAAAAGGAAGGTGGAGGGAAGGAAGGAGGAGGGAAGAGAGAGGGAAGGAAGAAAGAAGAGGAGGGAAGGAGGGAAGGAGGAGGGAAGGAGGAAGGAAGGAGGAGGGAAAAAGAGAAGGAAGAGAGAGAGGGAAGGAGGAAGAAAGAGGAGGAGGGGGGAAGAGGGAAGGGATGGAAGGCCGCCGCGTCTCTGGGGAAGGAGGAAGAAGGGTTAAAGGGAAGAAAGAAGGAAGGTGGGGGGGAAGGAGGGAAGAAGGTGGGAAGGAGGAGGGAAGAAGGAGGAGGGAGGGGGGAGGAAAGGATGGAAGGCCGCCGCGTCTCTGGGGAAGGAGGAAGGAGGGTTAAAGGGAAGAAAGAAGAGGGAAGGAAGGAAGGAAGAAGGGAAGAAGGGAAGGAAGGGAGGGAAGGAGGGAAGGTGGAGGGAAGGGAGGGAAGGAGGAAGGAAGAAGGAGGGAAGGAGGGAAGGAGGGAAGGGGAGGGAAGAAAGAGGAGGTAAGGAGGGGAAAGGAGGAAGGATGGAAGGCCGCCGCGTCTCTGGGGAAGGAGGAAGAAAAGGGTTAAAGGGAAAGAAGAAGGAAGGTGGAAGGGAAGGAAGGAGGAAGGAGGAGGGAAGGAGGGAGGGAAGGAGGAAGGAAGGAAGAAGGAGGGAAGGAGGGAAGGAGGGAAGGAAGAGAGAGGGAAGAAAGAGGGGGAAAAGAAAGAGGGAAGGAGGGGGGAAAGAGGGGGAAAGAGGAAGGATGGAAGGCCGCCGCGTCTCTGGGGAAGGAGGAAGGAGGGTTAAAGGGAAGAAAGAAGGAAGGTGGGGAAGGAAGGAGGGAGGGAAGGAGGGAAGGAGGAAGAAGGAGGGAAGAATGAGGGAAGAAGGAGGGAAGAGAGAGGGAAGGAGGGAAGGAAGGAAGAAGGAGGGAAGAAGGAGGGGAGGATGGAAGGCCGCCGCGTCTCTGGGGAAGGAGGAAGAAGGGTTAAAGGGAAGAAAGAAAGAAGAGGGAGGGAAGGAAGGAGGGAAGAAAGAGGGAAGGAGGGAGGGAGGGAAGAAGGAGGGGAAGAAGGGAAGGAAGGAAGAAGGAGGGAAGGAGGAGGAAGAAGGAGAGGAAGGAGTAGGGAGAGGAGGGAAGAAGGAGGGAAGAAATAGGGAAGGGAAGAAGTAGGGAAGGAGGGAAGAAAGGAGGGAAGGAAGGGAAGGAGGGACAAGAAATTGCGAGATAAGATAGAGGCAGTGAGAAGGAGGGACGGAGAAGGGGAGATAGTGAGATCGTGTCATTGTGTTCTCTCCATTAATGTTAATATGAGAGTAGTACATTCTAAAACATTTTTTTCGGGCTTTTTATGCGAAGAACACAATTCCATAAAAGAGATTACATTCTGATTATATTCTAAATTCAGCTAAAAGTCTGAATCAAACAGTTCCATGCATTTCAATTTTAAAGAATAATTGATAAAACATCGACTATTTCTTTTCCTTTCAGAAGTATTCATAGTATTCAATGTGCAGAAAATTATATGCATATATAATAATCACATTTCATTAATCATTT